ATTGATCAAAAACTCATCCAACTTTGGTGTCCAATAGAGGTCGTACAGATAGTCGGACTGCACTACACCAAAGTTTGGAGCCATCGCAATTTTTTTGAAAATCCAAAAATTCTATGTTTTTTGGTAAGAAAACTAAGCTTTCTACTTCCTTCGACGTTTGTGGAGGTCTCTATAATGCAGTGGGTGTATAAATAGGAAATATCATGCTGAGGATGTGAAATGCATTGTCTAACGTGTACACATATTAAAGATGGTCGTAAAGATGTGTAGTCCAATCTAATCAATATTGAAAAAAGCTGCAGCCTACATGTAGACATGTAACGTGTTGTCATAGCACGTTAATTCAATTTTGAATCTTTTGACCATGTTCAGCAGTTGAATGGTCAATTCAGACTCTCTTTTGTGCATCCATCAACGTTCTTGCAAAGCAACAAAAAAATTACTGTTTAGTCACATGCAAGAATCTTGTGACAGCTATTTACATCAAAAAATAATAAAAAAAATACGACAAACAAACAAAATATTAATTAAAGACACAGTTGCGTTACAAATTGTTGTTCCACATTAAAGGACATACAACAAAGTCACATGCAATGTACTTATTTCATGATATACATCCACGCAATTGAGATTACAAATAAAATGAATAAAAATCTATTCTTCTTCTTCAATTGAGCAATATCTTTTTCCAGTTTCTTCAACTTTTTTTTGTACGTCTCCTTCTCTTGTAGTTCACTTGCACATTCGACGTTTTGACGACTTGTTTCCGCTTCTAACCGGTTTACCTTACGCAACAAACCGGGAATTATTTCTTTTGATCTTGCACACATAGGAGGGTCAAACCAATTCCAAAAGGTACAACCATTTTCGCTACAATCCACGTACCTCCTACCTGGGTTGGCAGGGGTCCATGAAGTTTGTAATCGAGCCACTTTGCCACAGAAACAAAAAACACCGGCTTCTCTCTTTGTCCTTGTTGAACTTGAAGAGCTCATTATTTTGTGTACTTCAAAAAACAATAAATTCAAACCATAGACCACATATAAGTGACAAAAAGTATAGATCATATAAGTGATAAAATGGTTGTAAGACAGCTAGAATAACAAACATGTATCGAACGTAAACGAACACAAGCTCGAACAACCCAAGCTCGGTTTGAATCGGTTCGTTCACTCCTCTAGAACCATAATATAACTTCATTTATTTTTCTGTGTTTCTGATTATTCAACCAGCTTCGATCTGACAATCAATGTCTGGTATGCTGCTTATGATTGTCAACTAAGCAATCCAATCAGAGTCAAACATCAATAACATATTGACACTGGTAATTGATGTGTTGGCCATAACATGAATAAAACCATGAGACTTCAACTTCTAATGAAGTGCTAACATGTAAATTTGTTATCATATAAATACTGTGTGCAACAGAGAGCATGATAAATGATAAATGCAACAGCAAAACAGATAAAGGAAGTAGCCAAATCTCTGAACAACCAACAGGGTAATTATCTCTTAAATTCCATCTCATAAGCATACCGTTTACATAAGTTTCATTATATAAACACGGAGCTTCTTTCATTAGCGGGCATAAACAGAGAGCTTGTTTATTATCGGCCTTAATTGGGCTAATGAACTCATCAAATTTTACCTTCAAGTAGTAGACGAAAATCAAAGAGGAAACTGGATTAAATAATAGGGTGTGGAAAAGGAACCTGACTCTCGTCAAACTGAAGCTACGAGTTCTTCCTCCCTTTTGCCCCAACCTCAACCACAAAAATATAATCACGAATGACATGGGAATTGAGTTGTACCTGGGGAAATAATCGTGATTTTCGCAACTGAAATTGAAGGTTT